GAGAGAGAGAGAGAGAGAGAGAGAGAGAGAGACAGAGAGAGAGAGAGAGAGAGAGAGAGGAAGGGAGGAAGGGAGGGAGAGGAAGAAAGAGAGGGAGGGAGGGAGAGGGGGGGCGGAGAGAGCAAGGAAGGAAGCAAGCAAGAAATGAAACTGAATTGAAATGAAATGAAAAGGAGTGGAATGGAACAGAATGGAATGAAATGAAATCTTCCTGGATGTTTGACTGTAGAAATGTGAGGGTTCCTCTATCTTCCCTAAAACCATCTTCTACCCCAGGCATTATACTTCTGCCTCATCTTTATATACCTGAACTTCTGTGGTTCTTCCATGCACCACTGATTGTACAGCCAGCAGAAGGTAAAAAGAGAATCTTTAAGCCAAAACATACAGAAGATACTAAGGTCTTTATGTACTTCTAGATCCATATTAAATATACTTATTTATTTCTATTAAGGGTAAATCTAATTCCTCCTTGTTTTTCTATGTTATACCCTATGCTGCATTAATCAAGTCCCTGAGTTTGGTGATTGGCCAAGAGCTCAGAAAGTCCTTCCACAAGTGCCTTTGATTGTGCCCAACTGTGATAAACTAAAAACTTCATATTTGACACTAGTTTCACTTGAGACTGACACTACTGATTCTTTGTGAGATGATTTGATAGGTTGTAAGGGAACCTGGGTCAAACTGAAATAAAAACCAAGGTTAGCGTTCTATGTCCCTAAATTAATCTTTCTCCCAAATCCTTATTTAATTATGGATAAAGCTCTAAGTAAGCCAACAAAACAATTAATGCACTGATGAGAAAAGAAGACCATCACAAATCACCAAAATAAATTACATTAACTTACCATACAATGGAGAGGTGATCTGTTGAAACCCAGGTCTTAGGCACTGCTGAACTCTAGAAGGAAAGAAAAAAAGCCCAAAACTTAAGAGAAGCATATTTGTTACTTTCCAAAAGGTTTGAAATTCTCAGCTAATATTTAGAAACATGTAATATTAGTTATACTATTTTGCGATGCATAGGCATTTTTAAATTATTCATTCTTATAAAAGGTGATCCAAAAATATTAAGATACTCCTACATAAAATGATTATTTGTCAATACTGCTTACTCAAGCTTAAATTATCCTTTAAAAATTATTAAAGCACCTACAGCTTTCTTACTGAAGTTTTAATGTCTAACTTCAATACTCTAATAAGAGGATGAATTTATGATTCTTTAACAAATCAGTTACGTTAGTAATTTTAGTTCTGACTAGACTACTACTTGTTAAATTCTAAGATGTTACTTCTTAATCTGGGGTCCTAAGAAATATCCAGCCTGTGGATATTTTTCAAAATAAATATGCCTGATCACAATTTCAAGGCCACCAAATCAGACTATTAGAAGTGGGGTCCAGGTTTACTTACCTTGAAAAAAAAATCCCTACATGATTAGGATATATACTACTGTTTACAGCCACAGGGCAAAAGCCTCCTAAAAAAATGTAACTATATACAGAAGGCTTCCAAATAACAGCATAACACCCTTCAAGAACTAAAGGCTCCTTTTTATACCAGGTAATAACCTGCTTCTGAAGAGCACCTTGGATGCAATGGGGGAACATTAAGTAAATCCAATATTATTTTTCACAGTATCTCTCCATACAAGGTCAAAGACACAATGAGCTACCCTTAGCAGAACTGTCAAAACAAAATGAAAACAGGAAACTAACAGCATAGATGCAAGGCAATTTAGAGGCCTAAAATACCTCTTTAATTTAAAAAAATAGGTATTTGTAACTAAAAAAAAAATATTTTTAAGTTCTAAGGAATCATTGTTACCCTTGTATTCTGCAAATAACAATTTGTATTTGGGTGTACCTGTCAATGATCTAAAGTGGGAGGAATCTGTAGCTTACTTGTTGAACTTATAAACATTAGATATCTTATTTAGGAATTACTGCTAGAAGATTACTTAAAAAAGGGAGACAACCAGAGTTCACCGCAGTTCTAAGATTATGTTAGATGCTCAGTAGAGAAGGAACTCACAATAGACAGTACTGACCATTACCAAGAGCTTAAAACTGATTTACTTTCATTCAGTTTCATGAATTCATCTGTGCTAGTGTTGAAAAAGGGAAAGACAATACAAATAATAAAGGTAGTTGCTCATGATCTTTGTGGTAAGAACTGAATGTCCACCCAAATCCATTCCTCCTTTCTTGCACAGTTGGCTAGACTACATCTTTTAGTCTCTCTTACTTTAAGACATGACTAATCTTTTTCTAATGGTATGTGAGCAAGAGTGATGTGTGTCATTTCCCGACCTCCTCCATGCTTTTTCCCTCTTCCACTGGGTTGAAATAGTGATTGATTAGAGTAAATCTGGAAGTAAAGTATTCAAGAAAAGGGTGCCTACTGCAAGCCTGGGTCCCTTAATGTGAGTCCTTCAAAAACCACCCACCAACTTAAATACCTAAGGCAGTATAAGTAAATGTAAACTTCTATTGTGTTTAAGTGCCATTACCTGTGTGTGTGTGTGTGTGTGTGTGTGTGTGTGTATTACAGCAGGTTAGCCTACCCTACTAATATAACTGAGGTCTCTAACTTAAATTATTCTAGTCTCAATGGACATAAATGTCATTTAACTGTTCTTGATGTAATCATTAAAAAATTGTTACTTCTTAATAACTGTTTTTTTAAAGTAAACATACATCTAGATATATGAAAGACTGTTGACTATTTGGGTGCTAAAAAACTAAATAAAACTCAGATAATGCAATAACCAACTTTGAGAAAATCCCATAAGGAGCAAAATATTTTCACAGAGATACAGAAATACAAACTGCCTTGAAAGCAATACATTATCAAATGGATTAGAAAAGAGGAAAATACACACATGAGATGAAAAGGACCAAAGTTCTTTAAAAGACAAGCTGCAGGAACTGTTAACAATATAGCATCATGCCTCAGACCAAGTTTAGGAAATAAGCTATATTCAATTTTAGATGACTGACATCCAGGTTTACTAACGAGTTCATATTTAATATTTTGAGGATTTCCAGCAAATATCTGCCCCAAATACTCAACATCAAATAAGATTCACAGCAATAATGAGTATTGAGAGATTTACCAGTTTAGTTCCAGAGCTATTATGGCTACACCACAACTCCTCCAGTTTTAAAAAAATGGTGGGTAAAAGAAAGCTTACTAATTTTTGTTCTGTGTATGGCAAGATTTCAGTAATAACCTGTATAATGAATGAATAGCAATCTAAGGGAGGGCAATAGTAGATGAGCTGAGCAACCATGAAACAAAGCAGTATCTCCTAAAAAGTAAAAGGAACTCTGGATTTTCCTTTTAGAAATTAGGTTATACTTGGAGAAGAAGCATATACTGAGTTTAAAAGTTAAGATCTTAATGAAAGACTTCAAGGTTAAAATTATAAGAAATAATATAAGTCCTAAAAGGAAACCTGAACTCATTTTCCAGAAGCTATGTACCCCAGTCAAAACCCAAATACTTGATGTCCTAGCAGGGGAAAATAATTAGCAATTAAGCAGGTTTCTGTTTACACTATCAAAGGTAATTTAAAAAATTTTAAATGAGTAAACCTTCATTCAAGTTTAGCATTCTAGAGTATGTGATATGTTTGATATTCCATTATTACTATTATGTATAACACCGCTCAGATAAAACAAGGGGACCTTAGTTTTCATTTTCAGTCCCAACTTTCAGGACTTATTGAATAAGAAACAGTTATTCCTCATAAATAAAAGTCATTTTCACAAAATTTCTAAGATTTGTTTCACCTTCTATGGATATAAGCACCCATGCCTCTGCCTTCCCAACATAGTTACATTTATTCTTTCATATTCTTTTTCTCTCTCACGCAGACACACCACAAGCAGGCACACAGAGCAGCACTAAACCAACTTAGCAGTCATTTCAAGCAGCTATGCATTACTTCTCCTTTCATGACCCACTATGTCTATCATGTTACTATTTTAGTAGAATCTTTAAGAAAAAGATTACCACAACAGATAAGGCACTGGTATGATGGCTTAATTTTGGTAGGAAAGTCAGCCCTGAACGAACTTGGTAATCCCGGAATCCTCCAGCTACAGAAAGTGTGGTAAAATTTATGTGTCTAGCATTTAGAATCCAATAGTTGTTTACAGTCATATAAAAATCTGAAAGAAAACAAAAAAGACACACATTAAAAATCGGTAGTCATTCCTTCCAACAATAAAATATCTGTAATACTAATATTAAACTTAATTTCTGTTTAGCCATCTGAATCATCTAAAAAATATTATTCACATTTCTCTATTTTGTATAAAATCAGTATCTTTATACATATGCTGCTTTCCCCATTAAATCAGAATACAACTAAGGGTTACTAACAGTATAAATAAAGAAAAAGACACCCAATTTTATTGGCTTTGACAAGTCTACTGGCAGACAGGTCTTTACATTCTGTAAGGATGCTGCCTGTTCATGAGGCACACAGCACAGCAAGAAGAAACCCTTAAAATTCTTCCACAGATAGGAGTTTACTGTGCTAGAGTTGTAGCTCTTCCTAATCATGGTACTGTCCCTGTTTATGAGGGCTTAGTAGCTCTCTATGTGCCAACCACCACCACACAAAGTCCCATTAAGTTCTTCAAATACCATCTGTCAGGACAATGACATCCACATTAGTCTTTGGATTCTCTGCTGCTGTGGAAAACCTGAGGGTTAAGAAGGTTCTACCCATTTAGCATAAAAAGTAGTTCAAAGAGAAGAACCTGCAGACAAATTTTTCCACTTTACCAAAAGAAGATGAGAAAAATAAAGTGTCACAGACCTGAGGTCAGGGAAGGAAGATCTCATTTCCTTATCTGCTTATCAAAACTGAATGCATTTTTATCATGGCATTTGATCCTATTGAGGACTTCAAGCATTTTGGAACAGCAACATACTCCCATTAAAGATCTCAGCAATATTTACTTAGATCACCACAAAGCAGACTCATTCCTAACATCTGCAGGGCCTGGGACAAGAATACCCATGGGGTACACATGCCATATGTCTAAGTATTTAAAAGTCAAAATCCCAGCTAACAAACAGTTAAATATATTTCACTGCCTACCTTGACAAATATACCATCAAAGTAACTTGGAAGGCCAGGCTCAAATTAAGAGTTCTAGAACAATCTCTACTTAAGACACTACATTACGGTAGCACAGGAAAAGCAAAACTCTGGCCCATCACTGTGCTCCTCCTCCTCCTCTTCCCATACCAATTTCATCCTGCATCACAAGGGCCTCACGTACATATTTAAGCTCTGTCTGTACCTCATGCAGATCCACAATCTGGCTACAATTCATGCTTAGGGTTGTACGCACCTGCCCTCACGACAGATCCAGGTAAGAGGCCCACAGAGGTCCTGGAAGTGGGCTTAGGGTACACAGGCAAGAAAAGTCTAAAGGCTTGGTTACCTGCATCATGGCCTGTAAGTAAAGGCATAGCCTCCAAGTGCAGAGGCTGGCTGGCCTGTACACTCCTCCTCAACCCATGTGAATGGCAGGGCCAGAGTGCAGTGCAAGGCTTCCTTTCCCCTACTTAAGGGCACTACTTCCACCCAGTAAAAACAGGGCATCTACTCCTGGAGGTCATATGGGTCTCCTAAAAACCTAAAATACACTACCCCATGAACTTTTGTTTTTTCATTCTAATTCTGGCTTAATGAAATGAAAATTAAACACAGAATAAACTGCAAAGAAGCTTGCTAATTACCAGAAAGACATCCTGAACCTAAGAATCACTTTTAGTTTGAGCCTTTTAGAGACAGACCACCACTATCCTTCAAAAACAATAAAACCTGACTCTTTAGACAGTTCTTTATTCAAACAGTTTTTTAAAAAATATATTTTGAGTAATTCTAATTTAACATACATGGCTCATCTGCATATACCATACAAAACATAATAAGAGAAACAGTTCTCAATTGTGGTGACAAGTATTATGACTTGTCTATTATATCTTTGGTATTTTTTCTAAATCTATAGTTCATTTATAATTATTAGAACTTGTAAACAGATTTAAGCAACTTCAATAATAAAATTAAAAATTTTTATTAAAAGATTTCTACAGGCAAAGTTTTATATGTAATAAGGAAAAAAACAAACTTTACTATAAGTACTGTTGCACCATATACTCCAGCAAAGAAGTTACTCCTTGGCAATGTTATGTTAAGATGGGTGCTTTGGAAAACTTATTTGGAGTCACTAGGGTATATTTCTCATTTAACTGTAAATAAAATTTCATCACAATTAAGAATGCAAATTTTGATTAAGTAAGAAGTTGTGTACATTTTTCTGATCAGGAAAAAGATTTCTTTCTTCCTAAGATTTTCTTCTACTCATACAATATTCCAAAAAGCAGTGAAGCTAATACTTGACTTTCTTTAATAAAAGTTGAGATAGCAGATGTTTAATTCTTATTCTGTGACATAATTGCCATTAGATGACTGCAATCATAAATTCCTACTGTTCATTCAAAATTCCATACATTATAGTATCATCTACAATGTTATTTCCTCTGTTATAGTAATGTACCGCAGTAAGAGGCTAATTAGGAAGAGCAGATGCAAAGATTAGCATGCAAAGGTTAAGAGCACAGACCCAGGAACAAGTTTCTGAGGGTCAAATACTGGCTCCACTATTTTCTTGCCATGTGACTTGGGGCAAGAATTTTATCTTTGCATCTTTTTTATATCCATAAATATGAGGATAATGATACCTACCTCAAAGGATTGCTGTAACAGTCGAGTGACATAATAATACATCATGTATGCAAAGCCCTTAACACAACACCCCAAATACAGTAAGAGCTCTATAAATATTAGCAATTCTACCTCACCATATAAAGTGTTAGCAGACCTATTTATTTAAAAACAGGGCATTTCTATTTTACTTAAATATATGCTTATTTTGAATAGAGTACACATAGTACAATAGAGTTAACAAAATATAGGAAGTTTAACTCACTTAAACACACTTTAAGAGAGAGGGAGTCATCCTCAAGAATAACTGAACTGAAGCCCAAGTACCTAGGGATCATAAGACACATGCTCTCCATGTGAAGATGTTAAGGACAAAGAAAACTAAAGGCAGTTTCAATTATAAACTTAAGTTGAAAGTCGCAAAAAGACATGCTCAGAATTGGAGGAGCTGGCTTGAAACTGCTTCACAAGTGGGTAAATCTGTAGCATACTATAAAGGCAATAGCTTCAGGATTTTAGTCCTAAACAATGGGGAGGTCAGTGTTTATTAAAAGTACTCACCTGTAATGAAGCGATCTAATGGCATCACAGGAGCAACGTGAGGTGTGGCTTGTGTAATAAGAAGATTTATCAGATCTTGTTTAAAATTTTTCAGTGTAAGCAATGCTCTTGCAACAAGGCCACCCATAGAATGACCAATTATTGCCACACTTTTTGGAGCAAATTCTTGACCCTATTAAAAAACCACAAAGTCATAATTAAGGCTTAGTTAGTATCATAATAAAGACACTAAATATTTATTTCTACATTTAAGCAATTTTATAGAAAAAGGAAAAGTAAACTACTTATATAACCTCTCATCATAAGATACAGAAATACATTTTCATACACTTATAATTGGTGTATACATAACTATTTAGTGTTCTGCCAAATATTTTATCAGCTATGCTTTGGTTTTCTGAACCAAAATAAGAGCACTTGATCTAGGAAATCATGGTTCACAATTTGTTATATTGGATGTAAGAGGTGTAATTATATTTGCTACATACCAGAACATTAAATTTATAGGATATAAGAGGTCAGGTCATTTATTTGAAATTGGAAGTATCAGCAAAAAGCCAGAAAAATTTTGGTTCCATAGCAATATACTACCTTATCACATTGATGTATCTTACTTATCTCATCAAATTATTTCTTTATTGTATATCCAGAGTTTTTTTTAAAAAGCTGCATTCCATCACATTTATTCAGTGAAAAATACACATTTTGTTTTTTAAATAAATGTAGCTTTTTTTTCTATCTCCACAGAGTATCTTCAGTTCCACTACCAAACTTTTGCTCATCATCCTCCACACTGATCCTCCATCTATGCTTTCTCTTCTGTTACTATGAATAAATTAGACCTTGTGCAGAGGAGTGAAGATAGTAGGCCTGAGACTGCTATCTTTAGAATGAACTACATATAACATTGGCAATGGGTAGCAGTCTGAGACCTTACATCTGGTGAGTGTTGCGATAATTTCCTAAATAGGCATGGTTCACTATGCTGAAACTGCTTTGCAAACAATTTGGTTTATGCTGAATACCTGCTGTCCTTCTGGTTAGGATTTTGGTACATACTAGGCACAGAGTGTCTACATGAGCAGATCCCAATAAAACCTTGGGCACTGAGTCTCTTATGAGCTTCTCTCACAAACAATACTTCATACATGTCAAAACTCACTGCTGTAGGAATTAAATGCATTCAGTGTAACTCCCCAGAAAGAGGACTTTTGAGAGCTTGCACCTGGTTTCCTCCAGTCTTCACCCATGCATCTTTTCTCTTTGCTGATTTTTGCTCTGTATGCTTTCATTGTAATAAATCAAAACCATGAATACAACTACATACTGAGTCCTGTGAGGCCTCCTCAAGGATCACTGAGCTTGGGATTAGTCTTGGCGATCCCTGACACAGACATGATCTAGCAAAAGCCAAATCCTACATATTTGCTCTGAAATATATCCCCTTTGGCCTTCTCAAGTCATCACTTTCTCCAGCAATTCACTTTCTTCTTGCATCAATTGTCTTTTCCTATTAGATCTGCCCATTTTTTGATTGGTTTATGCTTTTTTGGTGTTGAGACATATTAGTTCTTTATATAGTTTGGATCCCTTTATCAGACAAATCATTTATAAATATGTTCTCCCATACTGTAGGTTGCCTTTTTGTTCTGTTGATGTTCTTTGCTGTATAGAAGCTTTTTGGTTTGCTGTAGTTCCACTTACTTATTTTTTATGTTGTTTCCCTTGGCCAGGAAGATGTGTACAGAAAAAAATTGCTCATGCTGTGTTCAAGAGATTTTTGCTTGTTTTCTTCTAGAAGTTTTATGGTTTCATGTCTTATATTTAGGTCTTTCATCCATTTCAAGTATACTTTTGTGTATGGAGCTAGAGAAGTAATCCAGTTGTATTCTCTTGCATGTAGCCGTCCAGTTTTCCCAACACAATTTATTGAAGAGACTGTCTGTTCCCCATAATATATTCTTGCCTCCTTTGTCATACAGTAATTGACCATATATGAGTGGGTTTATTTCTGGGCTCTCTATTCTGCTTCATTGATTATGGATCTGTTCTTGTGCCCGTACCATACTGTTTTAATCACTATAGCTTTGTAGTATAGCTTAAAGTCAGGAAGGATAATACCCCAACTTTGTTCTTTCTCAAGATTGCTTTGGCTATTTGGGAGTCTTTTATGGTTCTATATATATTTTAGGATGATTTGCTTTAGTTCTCAAAAAATGTCATTGGGATTTTGATAGGGATTACATTGAATCTGTCAATTGCTTTGGGCAGGATGGCCATTTGGACAATATTCATGCTTCCTATCCATGAGTATAAGCTAGATTTTCATTTATTAGTGTCTTCATTTTTCTTTCATCAGTGTCTTATATTTTTCAGAGTACAGGTCTTTCACCCCCTTGGTTAGTTTTATTCCTAGGTACTTTATTCATTTTGATGCAATTATAATGGGATTGTTTTCCTGGTTTCTATTTCTGCTAGTTTGTTGTTAGTGTACAAGAATGCAACAGATTTCTGTATATTGATTTTATATCCTGCAACTTTGCTAAATCCATTTATTAGTCCTAGTAGTTTTTTTTATGGAGTCTTTAGGATTTTCTATGTATACTATTATGTCCAATCTGTAAAGTGACAGTTTCCCTTCTTCCTTGCTAATTTGGATGCTTTCTCTCTCTTTTTTTTTGTCTAATTGCCATGGCTAGGACTTTCAGTACTATGTTGAGTAAAAGCGACTAGCATGGGCATCCTTGTGTTGTTCTTGATCTTAGATGAATAGCTTTCAGCTTTTTGCCATTGAGTATGATGTTGGCTGCGGGTTTGTTGTATATATGGCCTTTATCATATTGAGGTGTGTTTCCTCTACACTCACTTTGTTGAGCATTTTTATCAGGAAGGGATGTTGAATATTGTCAAATGCTTTTTCAGCATCTATAAAGATGATCATATGGTTTTTATCCTTCCTTTTGTTAATGTAGAATATCATATTGATTGATTTGTTGGTATTGTACCATCCTTGCATCCCTAGAATAAATCCCACTTGGCTGTGATGGATAATCATTTGTTTCATTGTTTATTTAGCTTTGCTAGTATTTTGTTGAGGATTTTTGCATCTATGTTCATCAGGGATATTGGTCTATAGTTTCCTTGTTTGGTAATTGGCTAGTTTTGGTATTAAGAGTAATACTAGCCTCAAGGAATGAGTTTGGAAGTATTCCCTCCTCTTCTGTCTTTTGGAATACTTGAAGGATAGGTATCAGCTCATTATTAAATGTTTGGTAGAATTCACCCATGAAGCCATCTGGTAATGTATTTTTGTTTGTTGGGAGCTTTTAGATTACTAGTTCAATTCAGTTCAAATTTTGTTTCTTCCAGGGGCAGTGTTGGAAGATTGTATATTTCTAGGAATTCATCCATTTCTTCTAGGTTGTCCAATTATTGGCATATAATTTTTCATAGAATTCTCTAATAAATCTTTGTATTTCTGTAGTGTCAGTTGTAACTTTTCCTTTTTTGTTCCTGGTTTTGCTTATTTGTGTCCCCTTTTTTCTTGATTTGTCTGCCTAGGGGTTTGTCCATTTTGTTTATCTTCTCAAAGAAACCTTGGTTACACTGATTTTTCTATCGTTTTATTCTTCTCTTTTATTTATTTCTGCTCTGATCTTTAATTATGCCCCTCCTTCAAACTTTGGGTTTCATATGTTCTTTTTCTACTTTCTTTAGTTGTGAGTTGTGAGTTTAGTTGGGGAATTGTTCTTGTTTCTTGAGGTAGGCCTGCGTTGCTATGTACGTCCCTCTTAGAACCACTTTTGCAGCATCCCACATATTTTGAACTGTTGTATTTTTGTTTTCATTTGTCTCCATGCATTGCTTGATTTGTTTTGATTTGTTCACTGACCCATTTATTATTTAGAAGCATGTTGTTTAGCTCCATGTGTCTGTGGTTTTGTTTTCTTCATGTAATTTATTTCTAGTTTCATACCATTATGATCTGAAAAGATGCTTGATACAATTTCAATCTCTGAATTTACTATAGCTGTTTTGGGACCTAATAAGTTGTTCTGGAGAACATTCCACATGCACTTGAGAAAAATGTGCATACTGCTGCTTTTGGGTGGAATGTTTTGTAGGTATCTGTTAAGTCCATCTGATCTAGTGTGCTGTTCAGTACCTATTTCCTTATTTATTTTCTGCCTGGATGATGTATCCATGGATGTAAGTGTAGTGTTAAATTTCTTAACGATTGTGCTATTTCCCCCTTTAGTTCTGTTAGTGTTTGTTTACATATTTACATATACAGTGCTCCTATGTTGGGTACATAGATATTTATAATTGTTATATTCTCTTGTTGGATGGATCCCTTTGTTACTATGTAATGTCATTCTTTGTAATATAATGCAATGTTACTTTGTTTTGAAGCCTACTCTAAGTACTATTCCCAACACAATTTATTGAAGAGACTGTCTGTTCCCCATAATATATTCTTGCCTCCTTTGTCATACAGTAATTGACCATATATGAGTGGGTTTATTTCTGGGCTCTCTATTCTGCTTCATTGATTATGGATCTGTTCTTGTGCCCGTACCATACTGTTTTAATCACTATAGCTTTGTAGTATAGCTTAAAGTCAGGAAGGATAATACCCCAACTTTGTTCTTTCTCAAGATTGCTTTGGCTATTTGGGAGTCTTTTATGGTTCTATATATATTTTAGGATGATTTGCTTTAGTTCTCAAAAAATGTCATTGGGATTTTGATAGGGATTACATTGAATCTGTCAATTGCTTTGGGCAGGATGGCCATTTGGACAATATTCATGCTTCCTATCCATGAGTATAAGCTAGATTTTCATTTATTAGTGTCTTCATTTTTCTTTCATCAGTGTCTTATATTTTTCAGAGTACAGGTCTTTCACCCCCTTGGTTAGTTTTATTCCTAGGTACTTTATTCATTTTGATGCAATTATAATGGGATTGTTTTCCTGGTTTCTATTTCTGCTAGTTTGTTGTTAGTGTACAAGAATGCAACAGATTTCTGTATATTGATTTTATATCCTGCAACTTTGCTAAATCCATTTATTAGTCCTAGTAGTTTTTTTTATGGAGTCTTTAGGATTTTCTATGTATACTATTATGTCCAATCTGTAAAGTGACAGTTTCCCTTCTTCCTTGCTAATTTG